ATATATATATATATATATATACACACAGTGAGCATAAATTAAGGCTAGTTTGTTGGATATGTAATTGCGACTTAATTAAATTTAAATATAAACAAATACTTTATTTACTTTGACTTTAATTATGCTTTTTTATCCTTAAGTGTTATTTAACAGACTCACCACTTTCTTCTCAGCAACGCGTTTTAAAGGTATTCCTAAGTATTTCTGGTGAAATTGACAGAAAGGTTGCACTTTAAGTGGCAAAAATATATTAGAATGATCTCATCAACATGATTCAATAGCCTTTTCTGTTGTGGCTATAAAAAACAACAAAATTTAGTTTCATGGTAGTTTTGGTAGGGTAGCACGGTGGTGCAACTGGTAGAGCTGCTGCCGCTCTCAGCGAGCAGGTCCCTGGTTCAAATCCCGGTCCGGGGAACTTTCTGGGAGGAGTTTGCATGTTCTCTCTGTGCATGTGTGGGTTTTCTCCGGGTACTCCGGTTTCTTCCCACAGATCAAAAACATGCATGTTAGGCTGATTGGTAACTCTAAATTGTCCCTAGGTGTGAGTGAGAGAGTGAATGTTTGTTTGTCTCGTTTGTCTCCACGTGTCCCTGTGATGGACTGGAGACCTGTCCAGGGTGTCCCCCGTCTCTCGCACAGTGATGGTTGGACATGGGCACCAGTGACCCCCGCAACCCAAAAAGGAAGAAGTGAGTAAAAGATAATGGATGGATGGATGGTAGTTTCGGTCAAAGTTTCAAAGAGGCATTGCAGCGGGACCGCGTGTGGCCCCAGAGCCGCAGGTTGCAGACCCCTGGACCAGCTGTTAGCTCTTCAGTCCTGTCATTTCTGTCTGTCCTCAGGTTGCTCAAAGAGCTAACAACAGGTAAAATAATAATTTATTAATTTTCTACAGAATTTCACTTTCAAAGACCTTTAAGATGTATAATAATGAATTAAAACAACAGAACTGAATAAATAAATATCGAGAACCAAAACTTTTACAATCAACTCATAATTCTGATGGGAAATATTTCAAGTCGACGTGTTATAACTAATGTTGAGGAAATACATTATTAGAATATCACTGCAGGGAAAGGTGATTTTAAAGGTCAAATGTTGCTCGTCTGAATTTAGGAGCTCATCCGTTGTGATTTATGCACCTGAACGTCACATGAAACCTACTGTGAATTCTCCCGTTACAGCATCAAAGCCAACATGAATGGTGTGTTCAAAGTCCGAGGGGAGGGAAATCTCAGGGCGTTCCTTCTCCTTCTTTTTGTTTGCTGTGCAGGGTGAAAAATAAAGCATTAAAGCATCAATGCTAATCCTTTTAAACACCACAAACTCCTGTAACTACGAAGTGATGACTGGAGGAGGAGAACCAAACTCACTTTTGTCTCCGCCAGGGAAGATGGAGCGCAGGCGGGCCTTCTTGTTTTTCTCCTCAGGAGCCATTGGAAGCGGTTTGGATGCGTGATTTACTGCTGAAGAGTCTCGGGAACTACTGTTCATTCTCAAGGGAGGGGCCGGTGGTTTCTCTTCAATATCGACACTATCAGACATGTTTAGTAGCACTCACAAGGTCCTGGGCAGAAACAGAGACAAAGACACACGTTTAGAGTAGAACAGGTATGATGTGGACTGGAAAGAGCCAAAAATGTGGCATAAACGGACTAACTTCAGCTAAGAGTCAGGAGTTTAGATCAGTATTGTTTTTATCTTCTGCATAACTAGAGATTTCCTGCTAAAACACAGCGTGAATGCTTATTGTTGAATGACTTTACCTGAATCCAGCTGAAAAGGTTTAATCTCTAATCTGTTAATGTGAGCTGAATTTGAACAGCTGACATTTGCTGAAAGCAGGAAAATAAAATAAAGCTGCATAAAAACTGCAGAAGTGGGTAGAAAAAGCTTAAGAGAGATTATATGAAGCAGTATCAGCTGAAAAAGGCAGAGAGAAGCAGATTAGATTACAAAAAATCTGAAATTAGCAGAAAATAAACTGAAATGAGCAGAAAAAACTTGTTAGTGGAAAGAGTAGCTCCAAAAGCTTAAAAAAACATCGAAATTAGCAACAAAAAAAGTAGCTGAAAAGGCTTAAAAATAAGATGAAGTTAGCAGAAAGTGGTTGAAAGTAGCATAAAAAGTTGAAATTGTTAAAAAGAAGTGACAACAGTCAAATTTGGCAACAAAAATAGAAAAAGAAAATTACTCAAATTTGCAGAAAAATACCAAAAAAAATAGTTGAAAAGGCAGAAAAAAGCTGAATTTTTGCTGAAAGAAGCTGAAAGGAGCATAAAAACCTTAAATTTGTAAAAGCAGTTAAAAGGAGCCGAACCACAACCAAAGTCGAAATGAGCAGTAAAAGGTTTTAAACGGCACAACAATTTTTTGAAGGACGTGAAGAGCTCCATTCATTTTCAATGAGAAAAACATGGCTGACAAAGCTAAATATTTCAAAAAGTACACATTGTACAGACACCAAAAGTCCCAGCAGGAATGTCCTGAATGAGGTGAATGTTTTGATTTAAGAACTGTTGAAATGAAAAAATAAAAACTGAGGAACGAGTTACAGTACGTGCCAGTAAATATACAGAAGAAAAAAGGATCTCAATAGTGAGAACGATTGCATCATGAAGGGCCCCACTCACCCAGCACACAAACTTTTTGCCCCACTCCCCTCAGGCAGGAGGTTAAGAAGCATTAAGTGTAGAACCACTAGACTGAGGAACAGCTTCTACCCTGAGGCTGTTAGACTCATGAATCTCTAACCAGAATAATCACTGTGAAAAATCACATCATGTTGCTGCTGATCTGTTTCATGCTGCTGATCTGTTTCATGTTGCTGTGTTCATGCGTGCTCATCTGCTCACACAGACACATGTTCGTGCTGCTGTTTGACGTATTGTTGTTGTACTACTAGTGCTTAGTGTATTTTTAGTTGACATTGTTCTTAGTTCATATCTTAGATCTTATTACTGTTTTTCTTTTACATTTTATACTTTTGTTGGATGTAAATGGGACCCTGTGTACACAATTTCGTTCCACCACATGTACCACATGTGGTGCAAATGACAAAGCACCTTGAATCCTTGGATTTAAAAGCATTCACACATTTAATACCTTATCTGATGTAGACAGGTCTTTAAGTAGCTTCAATGTGGAAAAATAGATTTTAATCCTGACTGAACTGATGAGCTAATGGCTAGTCCGAGCAGGGCCAAGACCAAATCAATTTTCTGCCATTTTAAAACAAATTTCACAACGGTATTAAATCTGTTTCTCCAAACTGAGATTATCTACAACAGGTAAAATATTAACTGTTCATAAGCCCCTTATACAACCACACGTCAAAAAACCTTATCAATCTCTAAAAACAGAAAAGGGTATTTTATGTTTATTTTTGTAATACTAAGATCAGCCAAACACAGTTAATTCTTAATGTAATTATTTAAATTAAAAATGCAGTTTGCTATTTATTTGATTAACCGCTTAACTACAATATAAAATGTTAAAACATGTGATAAATTGGCCTCGTCAGTTTCAATATGAACCAAATCTAAACCCTTTGGAAAAAAGAGAAAGCTGTGGATGAGTATATTTGTTAGGTTAAACAAATTTAACATTTTTATTTGTTAATAAATAAGTTAGGTTTTTTTTACTTCACTATAAAAACGCTGAATTAATAAAATGTCTTATTATTTGTACATTTTTCCTTGTGTAACGTAATGAATCCGGCTGAAAAATCGAAAAGTTTTCAAAACAAAGTCAACAATTATTTATTGAGTTATTTTACCATGATGTCATACGAGTTGTCGGGGTTGGGGCTGGGTGGAAGGGGGGGGGGGGGGCTGAAACTTTACTGGAGCATTAAGTCCAGTGGACCTGCTCAGCTGTGAAACCAGTAACCAGGACATGAGGAAACACTTCCATCACGCTCATCTTTCATGTTCCCGGCCCACCATCGTGTCCGACTCCTTCACTGACTCGCCCCGAGGCCGAGCCCATCATGTGATACGCAGCGCAGCCTTGGCAGAAAATGGGACATCTAGGCCGAAAGCCCCCCCACCCCCCACCCCCTTTAGTGAAGACCTACATTAGCAAACAAAGATGTGCTTCTCGGTTCTTGAACATCGCCTTGGACAAATTACACATTCAGCATCGCAGTAGCCTTTGGGATTTTAAACAGCTATCCACCAGACAAGACAAAAATCATCTGATTGATGGTAAATTTCCAGGAGAGCTGGTTTTATAATAATATTAATAATACTACTAATAATAATAAAGTGCTATGTGTTGTCATCATTGTACGTTCCCACACAATGGCGAAATTAGTTCTCTGCATTTAACCCGTTGCACCTGGAATACACCCAGGTGCGGGTTCTTTTTTGGGTCACTGGTGCCCATGTTCAACAGTCACTGTGCGAGAGGCGGGGGACACCCTAGACAGGTCTCAAGTCTATCACAGGGACACAGAGACAAATGAGACAAACAGCCATTTACTCTCTCACTCACACCTAGGGACAATTTAGAGTTACCAATCAACCTAACATGCACGTTTTTGGTCTGTGGGAGAAAACCGGAGTGCTCGGAGAAAACCCACGCATGCGCAGACAGAACATGCAAACTCCACCCAGAAAGGCTCCCAACCGGGATTCGATCCGGGGACCTTCTCGCTGAGAAGCAATAGCTTTACCAACTGAGCCACCGAGCTGCTCAATGTGTCCACAGCTCAAGGCAGAAACCCCACTTGAACTCAATGCCCCCCTCTTCAGCTGGGATGCGGTTAAAGCTCTCCCGGAGGTGTGAATTGAAGATCTTTTTGGCGAGTTCTTCTGCCAGGCATTCCCAGCAAACCCTCACTACATGTTTGGTTCTACAGGGTCTGTCCAGTATCTTCCCCTGCCATCTGATCCAACTCAGTACCAGGTAGTGATCAGTTGACAGTTCAGCTCATCTCTTCACCAGAGTGTTCAAAACAAATGGCCGTAAATCAACTACAACTACAAAGTCAATCATCGATCTACAACCTAGGGTGTTCTGGTGCCAAGTGCACTTATGGACACCCGTACTTGCAAACATGGTGTTTGTGATGGATAAACCATGACTAGCACAGAAGTCCAACAACAGAAGACTGCTTGGGTTTAGATCAGAGAGGCCGTTCCTCTCAATCATGCACCTTTAGGTCACTTACGTGGGCACTGAAGTCCCCCAGCAAAATAAAGGAGTTCCTAACTGGAGCACTTTCCAGCATCCCTGCTAAGGACTCCAAGAAGGCCGGATACTCTCAACTACCACTTGGTGTGTAGGCACAAACAACAATCAACAACTGTTCCCCCCACCTGAAGGCACAGGGAACCCTCTCATCTACTGAGGAAAACTCCAACACACAGGCACTAAGTTGGGGGGTTAAAAGTACCAGCTAGGTGCCTCTTACCACAGGCAACTCCAAACTAGAATAAGGTCTAGTGCCTCTCAAGAAGATTGGTTCTGGAACCCATGCTGTGTCGAGGTGAGCCCAACTATATCTAGTCGGTACCTCTCAACCTCATACACATGCTCAGACTCCTTCCCTGCCGGAGAGATTATGTTCTATGTCCCAAGAGCCAGCTTTGGTAAGCCAGGGTTAGAGCGCCAAGGCCCCTGTCTTTGGCCACTGCCCATGGAGTCGTGCACCCATTTTTTAATCAAGTCCTAGGAAACTCTCTGAATCACAATTTCTCCAAAACAATATGTA